GGGAAAAGTGCTTTATACCAATAGCAATTTAGAAGAAACCTAAAACTAGGCTTTGAGCTTGAACCTGATGTCATAGTCAGGTTAGACTTTAAGGTTTCTTGGGAAGTGGTGACTACATTTTCTACACATCAGAAACTTGTTCTACTTGTCAGAAAGTTGTTATGGTCAGAAAGTGTACTATGAGCACTAATCTTCAAGCAGCTAGGAATCCTTTCTTTTTTAATGTGCTTCCCTTCTGAATAAAAGCTAAAGTGATTGCTCTTCCTTCTTCTTTAATTTAGGCTGGTTCTATACATTAGTTTCACAATCCAATGTAGTGGAAATGATGTTTGGGGACTTCCAAATCAGGATCCCAAGAGCAATGACTTTCTATTTTCCTCTTTGGGGAGTGCTGCCACTTAAGTTGCTACTTCTTGGATCCTCACATTACGTTAGGAGGTAGTCCAGTATCAAGATGCAAGAACTCCAAGCCAAATGGAGACACTACATATAGATTGGAAAGGTCAAAGTTGGGTTTCCATTAACTGCAAACCACAAGAATTTCTGCAGGTTTCAACCCTAATGAAACTCTTAAATAACTGTACTTCTATCCTGTGGAGCAGAACCACCTCACTGGTTCTTATCAGCTCACAGAATTGAGAAAAAAAAAATGGTGATTGTCTTAAGTCAATGAAGTTTGGAGGTAGTTTTTAGTAAACATGAACACATCTGTTCCTCAAGAACTAAAACATCACCATACCATTTCATGTATTTGTTATACCTGGTCTTCCTGTTCTGCCTTCACTTCAAAATAGAAATATATCTTAAAGTTTTGTATTTGTATTGTAGTTTACCACAAATATACATATTCCAGAATATAAATTTGCCTAGACATCATACAAATTATATCCCATAACATGACCTTTGCTTTACCATTTTCTCTTTAATTTCTTCCTCCTAACTAAAATGACAAAAGCCACAGTTTACTTTTTGATCTTTCATCATTGCGCAGTTGGGTGGTTATAGAGCTGCCATAAGCTGTTTTACACAGGTACTCTTGCTGTGCTTATTTCCCTCTGTGAATATGCGGAAGTAGAATGGTTAGGGTGTGTAAATGGTTAAGGCAGAAGATTAAGGCCAAGTCACTTTCTGAGCAGTGTATCAATTTCAGTGTCCAACAGCAGTATGAAAGATGGCTTTGATTGAAGGGGATCATCATCACAGCACTCTCACCTTCCTTAGCCTTTCAGTCTATGGATGCATATAGTACATAGTAGATATAGTACATCTATTATGGTCTTAGTCAACCACCTATGAAATTAAGTATCAGTCATCTGTCTGGTCACCTCCATTGAAAAAGACCAGTTTGAGCCAAGAGCCAGTGTCTCACGCATATAATCTTACCTACTCAAAAGGCTGAGATCTGAGGATTGCTGTTTATAGCCAACCCAGGCAGGAAAGCCCATGAGAGTCTTTTTTCCAATAAACTACTCAGAAAAAAAACAGAAATGGTACTGTGGCTCAAGTGGTAGAGTGCTAGCCTTGAGCACAAACAGCCTCAGGGACAGTGCCTTAGAACTAGCAAACAAACAAAACAAAAAAAAACAAAAAGTTTGTCTTTGGCTCATTTTTCTCACTGTTCTAACTTCTCACTGTTCATTTTTATGAACAGTAGTTGTAACAGGTACCCTGTATTTTTAAAGCATACAACTTAGCCAACTTTTTAAATACAATACAAAATTAACTTGAAAAGAATTTTTGACTTTTACATGCATTAATTTGACTTTTACATGTATTAAGTATTATATTAACCTCTCACTTGTCTTCTTACTAAATGTGTCTGATGTTAGCAAGTTAAACCAGACATGAACAAGCTGAAAAATATTCTTTCATTATCTGTTTTAGAGTTTGAATAAAAGTTTGAAATGGTATGCTCTGAGTTATGACTTAATGTAAACTTAGCCTAGACATTGTCAATGAATTTTAATTATTGTTTACTATTTGACACTTGGATAAGTCTAGCTTCTCTTTTCCTCATGATCCAGTTTAAGTAAGCTACAATTTTCCAGTTTGATCTAAGTTTTCAAATATATTAGCAGAATCATACTCCTAGTAGTCTTTTTCTTTCATCTTTATCAGGTCTATGGGTTAAGACTCTCTTTTCAATCTTTAGAATGTTTATATATACTGTTTAGTTCTTTTTAAATTAGGGGAATTTTATTGTTTCCCTTATTTAAGTTACACATTTGTTCTTTTATCCTCTCTTTAGACTTTTAAAGCCATATTACTCAAAGTACCATTTCTGCCACATTATTGAATTATAAAAGTAAAGTACTGCTAGTCATGGTGGCTCATGCTATCGTCCCTGCTAATTAAGAGGCTAAGATCAGGAAAATGTTGGAAGTCAGCCTAGGCAAAAAGTTCATGAGATACCAGTCTCAATCAACAGTTGGGAGAGGTGAGAAACACCTGTCACTTCAGCTATTGCAGAAAGATTAGTGGTCCAGTCTAGCTTTAGGCAGGAATCACTTGCTTAGCAAGTCCAGGGTTCCAACCCAAGACTGAAAACAAAAACAACCACCTTATAATTAATCTACAAGGTTCTTCTAAAACTTATAAGTGTATCATTTAAAAAATGTAACCTTTATTACTAATCTCAATGTTTCTCATCATTAATACCAATGTATTGTGAATTACTTCATGTCTAGTAGTACATGATCCATTTTTGGTAAGACACAGTGATGAAGAAAATACTCTGTGTAAATATTCTCTAAATGTGTTCATTGAATCAGCATATTTACATTACTGAAATGTTTGAATTCATTCTTTAGTTGATGACTTGAGAACTGTTAGAATACTGTTCAGGTGACTGCCAAATTTAGCCTTATAAATCACATAGGGGCCACTTCATAAACACAAATTTGTTATATATTTCTAGTGAACTCCTTTTGCTATTCTTAGTGGCCTTCTCCATGTTTAATAATATCAGAAAGCTCCACTTTGATATCACTAAAGTTACACAAGTTTTCAATATTTGCTTTTCTTTTATCTTTTTTTAACTTTCTACTTTGTGTGGTTTTCATTTTTTTAGACAAGTTTTGACAAAAATAGCATCAATCTGTCATTTAAATAGGTAATTCAGTATGTTCTATTTGCTAATATGACTCATAAATATTACTTTTATGTGATGGTGAGGACTGAGCCCAGGGCCTTGTATATACTTGGCAAGTGCTCTGAAACTGAACTACCTTCCCAGTTCTGCTAACTTTCTAATTTTTGTTGCCTACTGATACTTTCTTTACTTGTTCTCAGTCATTAAGTTCCTAAACTTCTTTTCCTTTGGAAATGTTCATTCCCTATCTACTCTTTACAAGGTTATTCTTCAAATTTAATTACCACATTTAAATAATTTTAAAACTGTAACCTGAATAACTGAAGTACCTAAGAACACTTAATTCTAGGTAACCTCCTACCATTTTTCAACCGTCAAGTTTTACATTAGTTTTATTGGAATATTCCACATTAATGTTGCATAACAATATTTATTTTTACATTGTTTACACTTTCGTAGAGACATTTTTCATTATGACTTTATACAAATACCACTATAAGTCTACAAACATTTAATCATCAGCATATAGTTCTTTGATTTTAGATCATCCTTTTGGAGTAATTTTCCTTGCTAACATTCTTTTGCAGTAGTCACTTTTGCTTCATCACATTCTAAGCTGACAAGTTTTTCCTCAGAATTCAGGTTTCTGTTCTACCATATAATGGGTACATTGTTCTGCCATTGTTGTAGGTTCTTTGAATCCCCTTTGGTTGCTTCTAAAATCCTGTGTGGTAATAGACTTTTCTTTAAAAATGTGTTTGAGATACACTGTAATTCCTGAATTCAGGCTTTTCTAACAAATACAAGAAATTCTGTCATCTCTTCGAATAGAGCCTCTTCTTTATTCTCTCCATTTTGTCCTAGTTCTTAAAAGTTCTTCTCTCCCATAGCTCATTAACTTGCAATTATTTTCTGGCTCACTGTTTTGCATTGCTGCTCCTTGGGTAATGTCTTTACATTTAGTTTCCAGTTCACTTATCTCTGCAATTGAGTTTATTATAATTCAACCTGTGAGTTTTCTTTTTCTATTTCAGTCAAATATTTCTCATTCCTAGAGTTCTACTTAGTTCTTTTCATCTGTGACTGTGGTTTTATTCTTCATTTCTTATGTTTTTGGTAAGAACTAGAAAACTGAATTCAATGTTCATTTTTTCCCCCATGCCAGCTTGTTTTACCTAGTATCTGGTGATTTCTAGTCAAGAAATAATATTCTTGATCACAAGCTATGAGAACCTTGGGCCTAGATTAGAAATGTTTATAATCTGTTTCTACCAGGAGCTATAGCACTAAGCTGAGGGCCTTTTGGCCTTCCCAGCAGCATCTTCCATCTGTATCTCTGTCCTTGTTTCTGGTTTGAGGGAAACTACATATGACAGAAATGTCATCCAGAAAACTACAATCCTCTTGTAAGCTTAAAGTAATGTTCATGACTCCTAACTTAAAATGTGTACATTTTGTAAGGGATGACAGATGTATTGTTCTTCAGGATTTCTCTTAGTTCCTTTGACCCTTATTTTAAAAGTACATTTTCTTCAGGAACTAGGTGTTTTACAGTATCCAGTTGACCATAGTGCTGGAAGCAAATCATCTTATTCAATATATTAATGCATTAACCTGAGAAAAAACATGTTTTCATTCTTAATGGATTCCATCTTCTCTAACAAAAAAAGGTTTCTTAACCTTTGGTCAGAACAAATCATACAGCATTTTGGGAGTGAGGACCCAGAGAATGAACTTATCCCATAAGTTGTTGGCATGCTTGTAAGGAATTTCTCCTGATGCTCTACTACTAAGATATTACAATCAACTCTGCTGAAGTTTCTAATGTCCTAATCAATGTGTCATTCAAATCAATATCCCATGTTTTGAAGACTTTAAAAATAAATAACAATGATTTGTTACATGCAACTCCCATCTAGATACATAACTTTATTTTTAGAAACCGGGGGCACCTACAAGATAAGCAAGGATAAACAAGGCAGCTGGTGATTTCATGTCAGTCAAAAACATCTAATAGGCATTTTGGTAGCAGATCTGGCTGCTACTATCTTAAATGGTGATGGATTATTTACAACTTTCTTATTCATGCTGTCGATCAATGTTCCCAGGATGATCAGGAAGCTCTTTGTGCCTCACCCTAATCACTGAAGTAATGAAAGGAGATACCCGCAGCAAGAACTGCAACTGCAAATGCTGCAATCACACCTAAAAGTAAACAAACACAAAACACATGGAAATGGGATGAGGCAAAAAAAAAAAAAGCTTAATTGATCCTAGGTCTGAAATGTAGGTAACGATGAGCCTATAAAACAGTATACACACAGAAAACAAACACATACACACACAATCCTAGATATACAAAAATATGCATGCACAGGAAGTCATTAAGGTTTTAAAAATTAAATTACAAATACTGGACAAAGTGTGTCCCTTACATAGATATGTTCACTAAGAGAAAAAAATACAAATATTTTCAAAGGTTCCTATAAATATGTGTATATACATATACACAATTGTATATTAATACACACAGATACAAACACACACATATTCACACAGTATACCAGCTGTCTCATACACTTTGTTTTTTTTAAAAAAAAATGTAAGAAATTAACAAGACATTTTATCTTTAAGGGCACATAGGTGATAACATATATATATGTATATATATATATATATATACATATATATACATATATATAAGCCTTTCTACCTCCACCTTCTGACACCTTCAATAATACTCAATGAATAATGGTTTATTCCTTCAAAATAGCAGCTCCAATAGGAAATGGTTTTCAGTCTTTAGAATGCAAATCTAGGTAGCTATTAAAAACAGAAAATCCAGGTTGTATTTTTATATGTATTTTTAGATTTTTATATCACTATAAAATCTAAGTAGGATCGGGTTGGTAACTTTTATTTTTCATGGATAAAGTTAGAAAAAGAATGACAAATGCACACAGGTACAAAGACTTTAGTTCATTAACTAAAGCTTATCTAATCAGTGGCAAGAATCTCTGGCTCTAACTTGCAGTCAAGTCTTAGTGCTGAGCATTTCTAAGATTAGTATTCCACCAAACAACAGTCTACCATTCTTTGTTCAAAAACTCTAACATATGTTGGTGACTGATACACTTTTTTGGAAACTTTAAAATACAAAAGTGCATTATAAATGTCCACTGGAGTTTTCTTTTTTGTTCACAAAACTTGTATGAAAATCTACGACATTGGCACTAGGAATTCTAGTTCGGATAACGTGGCCTACTATACTGATTAATTTCTAACAGTTTATATTTTTATCTCTATTTTTAAAATTAATTTTATTGTCAAGGGGTTACAATTACATTCATAAGGTAGCAAATACATTTCTTGTCAAACTTGTTACTTGTTACCCCCTCCCTTATTTTTTCCCCATGCTCCCTCCTTCCTTATCCCCCCTCCCTAGCCAAGTTTTACAGTCCATTCCCAACACACTGTCTTGTGAGAATCACTGTTGCTTTGGTTCACCCTTTGTCCTTTGTCTCACCATTTTGTTGTTCCCCTTCCCTTTCCTAATTCAGATAATTGTACATATACTACCCAGGGTACCCAAATCAAATACATTTAGCATCGTTTAGCATCATCTTATATGGTCATATGTACATAGCTACTGAGCTATTCTGCTCATCTGGTAGCACTAGACATATACTAATTATTACAAATGAGGGAAACCAAAGGAATTCTATGCTTTCATCAGAAAGAATGATATTGCTCCATTTGTAGGGAAATGGAAAGACTTGGGGGAAAAATTACATTATATTTTTATTTCTAACCCAAGAAATTAACAGGACATGTTAGCTTTGAGGGCACTCAGGTGATGATATATTTAAATCTTTCTACCCTCAGTGATTGGCATTTTCCATAATACTCAATAAATAATGGCTTAATCTATTACTTTAAAGAAATCTAAATGAAGGCTGACAATGTGGCTTAGTGGTAGGATGCTTGTCTGGCATATATGAAGCCATAAATGGTTTCAAGCCATACATAGGTTCAATTCCTTGGTACCATATAAACAGAAAAAGCCAGGAGTAGTGCTGTGACTCAAGTGGTAGAGCACTAGCCTTGATCACAGAGAAGCTCCAGGACAGAGCCCAGGTCCTGAGTTCAAGGCCCAACATTGGCAAGAAAGAAAGAAAAGAAAAAAAAAGAAAGAAAGAAAGAACGAGAGAAAGAGAGAGAGAGGAAGGAAGGAAGGAAGGAAGGAAGGAAGGAAGGAAGGAAGGAAGGAAGGAAGAAAGGTAGGTAAAATACCTATGTTTTGCTGAATTTTCAATACTATTGTAGTTTTAATTGGTTGCACAGGCTGTTCATCATCTGTCTTGTCCAAAGAAACTTCACTATTCAGAGAGGAACTCACATAAGCTGTAAGAAACAATAACAAATTTGCACAAAGTGAGAACTATTATTTGAAATTATTTTAAAGAACATAATAAGGAATACATACCGTAAATAATATTTTCTTTCTACTCTGTGTGTGTGTGTGTGTGTGTGTGTGTGTGTGTGTGTGTGTGTGCTGGTGCTAGAGCTTGAACTCAGGGCCTGGGTATTGCCCCTGATTTTTTGTGCTCAAGGCTAGTGCTCTACCATTTGAGACGCAACTCCACTTCCAGCCTTTCTGGTGGTTAATTGGAGAGGAAACTCTCATGAATTTTCTTGTCCAAGCTGGCTCTGAACCAAAATTCTCACATCTTAGCCTCCTGAGGATAGGAGTATAGGATTATAGGCATGAGCCACTGATGCTCGGCAATTGAGTAATTATCAAATATAATTGAATAAAATGGAATATATGTCAAAGTGACATTGCTTTCAAAATATTTGATGTAGTTTAATCACTGACTTAAGCCACAGTCAGTTATTAAATGACTACCATTTTTAATCAGCTTGAGTGAAAAATGGACTATAAAAGGAATATGTGAAAGACAGCCTGTGCAGCCCATAAAATATAAAAATGTCTATTTGAATAAGTTTGCTGACTATTAACACTGAAATTTGCAATAGACAAACAAAACATAAGAAACTTGACCTTAAAACCACTCTGATTGTGAAGCAAGACAACTATGTCATCTTATTTTACAAAGGAAGTAGAACCAAAGAGGTTAAAGTATATGAGAGTCATGCATAGTTACCTAAGGATGCAACACAAAAATCCTCTTTCCACTTCACTATGCAGACAGTAATCTACATTTTCTTTTTTGGGGGGGGGGGAGGGGGTCCGGTCATGGGGCCTGAACTCTGGGCCTGGGCGCTGTCCCTCAGCTCTTCAGCTCAAGGCTAGCGCTCTACCACTTGAGCCACAGCGCCACTTTCGGCTTTTTTCTTTTTCCTTATGTGGTGCTGGGGAATCAAACCCAGGGCCTCATGCATGCAAGGCAAGCGCTCTACCACTGAGCCACCTTCCTGGCGCCAGTAATCTACATTTTCTTATCTGAGTTTGCTTAAAACTAATTAAAAATGTTTGAACTGCTAATAAATGAGATCCTACCATCCAGTGCATATTTTACTGCAGTGTTCAAGAATACTATGAAAACAGATGAAATCTGACAGAAAATCTCAGTACATAAACTAGGTGAAAGTGCTCCTATTCAAATTGAAGTAGGACTACAATACTCTTGGAGCCTGACCAGTTCCTTTTTCTACCTATTCCCATTCACTGAACAAGTGCATTGCTGCTTTATAGAATCCAAAGGAACTTACTTCAGATTGATGCTCTTATTTACAGAGACAAAGAAAAAGAGAATAAACAAATCACAGAACAAAGTACAGGAAATACTATTGCTTAAATTTAAATAGTCTATTGTTTTCATTTAAAATGTCCTCATAGACATCTTTGTATCCTATCATAGTAGTACAGGTTTCCAAGGATGATACATATAAACTTACTGAAATAGAAATCTGTGGGACAAAAAAAATACCTATCATTCATTAATTTCTCAGGAAAAGGAAGTTTACTGATTTTCAGAAATATGCATAAGGACCTACTTTGTTAAAATCAAGGGCACCAACATTTGTTATTTTTCCTCCTCAACCACCATAAGTTGTTTTTTGTTTTGTTTTGTTTTGTTTTAATCGTGCTGGAGGTTAAGCAAATGCTCTACCACTAAGCTACATCCCTAGTAGCCCTCTTGGCTTTTTTTCGGTCTTTATATCAAATGAATCCCAAAGGAGAACAAATTCACAGTAATAAATATTTCTACAATATTCAGTATTTCCATAGGTTGCACTTTTCCTAATTTTCTTAAGGGTTATAACAACTTAGTTCTAGACTACAATTGTACCAATAGCTTCAAATTTCTTCCAACGTCAGTCTCTTAAGACTGAAAGTTGAACATGTCAAACAACTGTGGTTCTTCTATTAGCAACTATCTGTTAATTTTTCATCTCTGTGCTAGTAATATCCTTATATCAGTTGAACAAGATATGGGATGAAGTATGAATTATACCAATTCATAATTATACAAATTACAGGATACATTTAAGATTGTTATATGTGAAGATCATGCTATTATATAATTCCAGCACAAGTTAATTTTCCTCTAGAAAAGATATTCTACTGCCTTTCAAAATAATTTTAAGCTGTCACATAAATTTATGTGATTTAATACACATGAATTTTATTAAAGCAAAAAATTTTCAAGAAAGAATAAGGCCTTGCCACAACAATATGTCCTTTTTTCTGGTGAGGGTTTAAAGGTTTTACATTCAAATCTCAGGTATTGTGTCTCTTAACCAAATTTTTAATATGTTATCTGAAATTCATATACAAATAAAATGAGTTGATAGGAAATAAGACTTTAATCATTCCTTAAAAAACAAGCAGTAATAAATTCAGACAAGTCCCACACTAATCATATAAAAAAGCAACTATCAACAAGAGAAAAGGGCCCACACATATATGCAAAGTTAGAGACATATTTAAATTTATTCTAAGCTGCTGATAGGTAGGCAGGATTATATAAAACTTTAAGATAATAGGAGTTGCATTTTTTAAATTGGTTATTGTTCCTTATCACTGTACCACTGTAGTCGGCAATCTGGCATAAAATATATTTTTTATGTATACACACCTATAATATAATCACTGAGGAGGCTGAGGCAGGGAAGCCTTCAAAGAGAGCCTGGGCTACATACATGTGTCAAGGGCTGGAAGTGAAGCTCAATGGGAGAGTATCTGCCTACCATTCTCAAGACCCTTGGTTTGATCTCCAGCACTAAAAGTATTACTAACTATTTAACTAACAAAAAATAAACTTGGCAACCATGCATGAAAACATATGCAGGGCTCAATGCATTTACAAACAAATCAACTGAAAAAAAGGAGGGTATTCTTAGGGGAAGGATCCAAAGGCAAAAGTCCCCTTAACAACAAAAGTACAGTTTATCATCATGAATACCAGAAAGTGGAAATGCATGTTGGGGGAGACAAAAGGAGGCACAGGAATGGAAGGAGGAAAGGTGTGCAAATGTAGTCACTAGATTCAATGCACACTACTTGAGAGTAGGGACTGGAGTGGAGGAAAAAGGAGAGAATGATGGAAGGGTAATACTGACCAAGAAGCACTATACTTATAAGCTGACTTTTAGAACAATAAACCCTTTATGTAACTACTTAATAACTTAAAAAATAAGAATTTTAAACAATAATTTTAAAAAGAACAAAAATATAACAATAATTTTAAAAGAAAAAAATAAATTTGACTTTAATACCAAGACAAAATTGTCAGCTAACAGATTTTGAAGGTGTGGTTTCAAAATTTTTTTCATCTGATACTATGGACAAAGTACATCTAAATTAATGTGTACTAGGAGATGACTAACACATCTAAGAAATGTTAAAGCCAGTTATCCTCACCACAAATGAGTCATTTTGACAAACAAATTGTTCTCATCCCTTAAGTCATTTACCTCATTTGGCAAAATATGTATTTTAAACATAGCAACTAGTCAACAACATTACAGAACAAAAACTAGTAATCAAAGAGTTACAAATACTAGAGCCACTTAAAAGTGTAATGCTCATAAACATGTTATTTCAATTTTTGCCTTTTTTCTTCCCCTAGTGGTTTAAGCAGGATTTAAATTTTGCACTTAGTAGACAACTACTCTACCACTTGAGCCATGTTCCAGACCCTCAACTTTTCAATGTGAACATCTGAAGTATTTTGAGACTTACTTTTTATAAAGAATCCCTAATTCAAACTTCAGAAGAACTGATACAAATTATAAGACCGAAACATTATACTTTAACATTATTTACACATTATAATTTCATTATAACTACTTTTTCATTATAATTCTGAACTTCAGTATTTAATAAGGTGTCGATATCATTCTAAAGTAATGCATATTTCATTTTAGAAAATATGTTTTCTAACATTTTCACCAAAAGTAAAGTTCTATATAAATAATGTCTGCATACCAATGTTTCAGTCAGTGACAAATGTGATGGTCCAGGTCACATAACATAACAATGGAGCTGAAAGTTTCCATTGTCTAGTTAGGTTGTAGCTGTTGCAGCAATCACAATGTTACAGAATAACCTTTAACTTAAAGGTTTGTGGGTTTGCTGGTATAAACAAACCTTAATACACTGCTAGTTATGTGAAAGTATAGCACACAAAATGATAGAGCTGGGATTGTAGTTTAGTGATACAGCATTTGTCCAAGCTGTGTGAAGCTCTAGATTTCATCATCACCAATGAGAGGGGCAAAGGATGGCAAATTAAGCTGGCATCACCTTCACGTATATTGTCTACCTGCCAACACTGCAACTTGTTGAATGAATGACCTATACCATAATGAAACTGAAACGATACATTTCTTGAAATACACTCATTACTATGCAAAATGTTAAAGTATAAATGAATTAACAACAATTTAGCGTAACATAAAGTTAAGTCAGTGTGCAAGTCAGAGTACACTTAGAATTTTGTGCTATGATATCACAACTTTCCAAAAGGGTAAGTTGCTTTTTACTCAGTACTTAGTGAGAATTACTAATAATTGCTATTACATACTTTTAAATATTTCAGGAAAACATTCCCCATATATATTCATTCATGGACATACTTTATACCTTGTGCTCACTATAAATTTTTTAAAAATTAAAATAATAACAAAGCAAAACTTCCAAAATGAGAGGGTCATGTATTTTGAAATGATGGCCAGGAAAAGAATACCCTGTGTGAATGGATAGCAAATCCATATACTATAAAAATTCTCTTGTACTGATGTTTGGAACTGCACATTTCACTTTAATATCCCAATTAAATGATGAGAATATGAAGAAAAGCAAATTATATAGAAAATGTTTAATAAAGTTTTAAACATTTGATAAGATATTGAAGCCAATAGTTAGATGACTTTTTTTTTTTTTTTTGGCCAGTTGTAGGGCCTGAACTCTGGGCCTGAGCGCTGTCCCTCAGCATTTCAGCTCAAGGCTGGTGCTCTACCACTTGAGCCACAGCACTACTTTCGGCTTTTTCTGCTTTATCTGGTACTAAGGAATCAAACCCAGGGCCTCATGCATTTTAAGCAAGCACTCTACCACTGAGCCACCTTCCTAGCCCCTAGTTAGATGACTTTTGAGAAAACTTTTCTATTATACTAAAATAATACTTAAAAGCTACAAGCTTTCATCTATTTAAGGCTAAATTTGTCTTACCAAAATCCACTTGCTGGACTTAAAAAAATCTGAATTATCTTAAAGTGTGATACAATTTCCAAAGAAAACAGTGTATGCTTATTTATACAGAGAGAAACTCATCAGATTAATTTTAATTGTCTTAGTATTATGAAATCTCAGAGTTAGCTTCATGGAAATCTAAACACATGAAATTTAATCCAGACATCTTATAAGTGAGGTCAGCTATATTCTAATTAGATTCTTACTTACCTGTGTTTATTTCCTCTGCAACTTCCAAATCATCTAGTTGAATCATCTGATCTAACATTTCTATAAAATGGTCTCTGATTTCTTCAGCTGACTCATCACCAAATTTATAATCACAGAACATTACAGTAGAACCAGGAATGGGGACAAAAACTCGGTGAGGGAGGATGTGGAACTCTTTCTCAGAATCTAAAGGAGAGAGAACAGTATCAATATTTAGATAAATCTTTCACTGGTACATATTTTAGAAGTATATAAAAACGGTAACAGAAAAAAAAGCTTGAGATTACAATGCATTTTTACTTTATGATTGGTATCACACTACTGAGTTCTATTTTAACTCAATTCTTCATTAAGAACTTAAAGGACACTTCCATAAAACTTAAAAATTTACTATTACCTTAAAGATAAAGTTGCTGATGATTACACATTCTTGCTTAAATAACATCCTATGATGGAATACTCAAGAAGAATTCTTAAATTTTACAGCCAACTTTTCCCTTATTCATGCATATTTGCAGTAAAATTGGGGCCTATCTATAGGAAGTATATAGGACATACTATTGTCATCATACTAGCTATGAAACGTGTTTAAGACACTGAGCATATATTTTGTAACAACTCCATCTTACTTTCTTTTCCTTTACTTTTGGGAGAATCAGTCTGGCTCAAAACATGGCCCAGGCTGGCCTTGAACTCAACAGCTGCTTTTTGGTTTTCCTAATGGGATTATGCCAGTACAGCAAAACACTTGGCTAGTTTGCTTTTTAAACTTCTCTTTATCTTATTATTCTTTCCGTATGCTTATAATGTTTTGGTAAAAGGTATTGAGAAAAAAATCTGAATTACAAAACTAATGAATAACTTAACTACATTTTTTTGGATACTTACAAGTTAGAATAATATATTGTCCCCAAATTTCTAATATAAAGGCATTAGCTCAAATAAGCACATTATTACTGCTTAATTCAGCAGAAAAGAATAAGTAGAAAACTGGCTCATTTCAATAGTAATCTTATCAGAGAAATGCTTTAGCTTTACATACAAAACTAAGATGAAGAACAATTCCTTAAATGTCATGACTTAAATAAGGTTCTTCTAGATTCTGTGTATTATTTTATTTATTTCTCTCAGTAAGAACTGAGAGAATAATTTTCCTCTTTGACCAGACTGCCTCCTAGCTGTACAACTACATGACTGCAATTTGTACTGCACCATGTAAATAGTCTACATGACAATACCAGATATATTCTATTGTAAGCAATCGATATTTGAAGCATCTTAAGACAAAAACTTCAAGATATACTTCTATTATTAAACTCAATTTTTCTTTTATTTTCATATCTTAAAATCAATTATGATATTACAAGTTATTAAACTGGTGATTTTTTTTTAACTCTTGATATGTTAAGATCAACTATATGGCTGAGAGTGTGACGCAATTGGTACAGCACCTGCCTAGCAGGCACTAGACTCTGACTTCTAGTACTATACATACATACATACATACATACATACATACATACATAATACACACATATATAAGAGATAGCATTTTAGTGCCTAAATAAGACCAATTTTTTCAGTGGGTTTGAGATTTAAAATGGGAAAAAGGATCATTTGGGGGAGGGAAGAGTCCCTTAGGACTATCCCCCAACAGAGTATTCAGTTCAATATAACTTGAGTAAGACCAAACAGGAAATCTTTTTCAATTTAAGCCAATTTTATAAAGAATGGGTTGCTACTGGTTAAAAATAGAATCCTGGCACATAGAAACAATTATATAGAAAACGTGATATGTAAGCTAAATCTAAGAACAAAAGCACACAAAGGGACAAGAAGTATAATCAGGCAATAGAAATGTGGTATAGGCAAGAGATTACAAATATTTTGAAAGGATAAGTACATGAATGAATAGTGATGTAAGGATGAAAAGATTTCATGATTAATGACCTAATGATGACCTCTATTTTGTAATCAAGGGAGGATCCACCTATCACAGTACACTGGGAAGAACTGAATGAAGACTTACAACAAATAATAGGGAAGATCTGGGATACATTTTAAGGGGAATCAGATAAAAGCACTCTAAGTAAAAGCACTGATTGGCATTCCCACATTTTACTTATTTCATTGAAAAACCAAGTCTTTCAATACGAACAGTAAGAATTCCAAGAATATGTCTATAATAAACATTGGAAATATAAAGTTAACATCTGTAATTAGGTAGATTACAAGATAATCATTATACATCTTACCATATCTGTAAGATCATAACATTTAAGAAAGATATACTAAGTCAAATGATCAGGACCCATGACATATACATAAACAAACAAAACAATAACAATAACAACAGAAGCTGGGTGCCAGTGGCTCATGCCTGTAATCCTAGCTACTCAGGAGGCTGAGATTTGAGGATCACGGTTCAAAGCCAGCCCAGCAGGAAAGTCTTTGAGACTCTCATCTTCAATTAATTATGAGAAAACCGGAAGTGGTGCTGTAGCTCAAGTGGTAGAGTACTCGCCTTGAGTTGAAGAGCTGAGGGACAGCACCCAGACCCAGAGTTCAAGCCCCATGACCAACCAAAAAAAAAAAATAAAAAAACAATAACAACAGAAAGAACCATTGTGTATGGTAAAGATATGGTCCTCAATGTTAATGTTAAAAAAAATGGGACTTTTGAGAAATAACTTGATTGAAAGGGATATGGTCTAACTAATACATTGATGGATTCATAATATGAGGTAACATTATGAGGAGGTAGCAGAAACTAGTGTGGTGCCTACTCAGAAGAAGACTTGGTCACTAGAGATATGTCCTTGAATATCTCCTACTACCTTATCCACTGCTTCCTGGCTACAACAGCAATTACTGTTACTCAAGGTTTGGCATATATTAGCCTGAATATAAGACTTTACAAAATCATCTATTTTAATCTCATAGCTTCCAAAAGCAGCTATTACAATTCTTGTTTTACACTTTAAAAAAATGGAGCTTATGGAAGCGGGATCATTTCTGGGAGGTCACTATGCTAGTAGCAGAAGAGACACAGAATCTGACATAGTTTTGACATGATTTATTTTCCAAGAGTCCACATATTGGGAGCCTAGTCTTCAATAAGGTGATATTGGGAAGCACAACTTGTAAGGTCTAATAGGTCCTTAGTCACTTGGAGACAGGTCCTCAAAAGGGATTAAAGTTCTTTTCATGGGATCCTGGTTAATTCTCTCTTGCATAAGGATGTTGTAAGTCTTAGGTAATCTGCTTTTACCCAATTCTCTTATTTCTGTAAGTATGTTTATGTTCTTTTCGCTTTGTCTTATGTATATTTTATTGTTGTTCTTGTTGGGAATAAACACAGGCTTCATATCATTTCAAAACAATTGCTTCATGTATGATTAAAATTCATATCTCATCAAATTTGTATACTATAGTAATTGGAACTTCAGGATTATTTGTTGAATATGGAAAGGCAATCTCAAAGATCTAACATATAGAAATATAGATGGGGTTAATATTAGTCTTTCAAACCTAATATATAGATAGAATAGTTACTAAGGGGTAAGACACTGACTCAACCTTGATTTTCAAACTAAGAAGGTCTATTAGACCTTTACACGCTGGAAAGCATGTAAATTAATGTATATTACAAATAGTGCCTAGCAGAGGACCTGTTTGTTATTTGATACTCAAAAGTGATATGTTAATACTTTTATTATACGTAAGTTCTTCAAAAAGATCAGGTATTTAAAAAACTCATGGTGCTGGGAAGGTGGCTCAGTGGTAGAGTGCTTGCTTTGCATGCATGAGGCCCTGGGTTCGATTCCTCAGCATGACATAAGGAGAAAAAGCCAGATGTGGAGCTGTGGCTCAAATGGGAGAGAACTAGTCTTGTGCTGAAGAATTGTGGGACAGCACCCAGGCCCAGAGTTCAGGCCCCATGACCGAAAAAAACCCACAAAATTATGACTTTAAAATGTTGGTAATGTTCACTAAAAAAAACAAGATTTTAAAAAAATTGTCCCCAAAATAGTTAAATATTGACAGATCTGCCATTATAAAGTGTTAAAACTGTTCTGGAAGGAAACAACCGAAAAATTATCTTAGAATAATAAAAGATGTCATTTTGTTCTAAAAAACACTGTAAGCGATGGCATATCCCTTATATATTGCGATCTTATTGTATCAAAATAAATACTTGAAATAAAAGTACTGATTTTATACTCAGCATCGAATAAAAGTACTTATTTTATACTCATAACTTTTTTTTCTGATATTTCATTCAAAAGCAGATCCTCAAATAGTATTTCACAACGATCAGCAACTGTGTTCAATATATCTCTCTTCACTGCCTATAGAGAAAAAAGAAACAAAAACAAAGTAAGAAATAAATACTTCAGGTTTGCATTAATTAAATAAGAACACAATTATTTGATTATCTATATTATGTCTACTAAATATCTTACACATCACTCTATTTATTATGTCCCTTAATTTAACAAGGCTAACACATTTATAGTGTAATGATTGACAAATTTGCTTAATCTCATCTAAATAGTACATTAAAAACAAATCTAAACGAATCTTGCCAGCATTCCATGTGTTTTTATTACATAAATACCAATCATACTTTTTCAACTTGTAAACTGTAGAACACTATCTAATACCTAGTAACTCTTTTTTTTTTTTTTTTTGCCCAGGCTGACCTGGACCACCATCCTCCTGTTTATGGTTCCTGCCACAGTTGAGATGACAGACATATACCAGCATGCTCAAACTTTCCTTTGGAAATGAGGTCTTGTGTACGTTTTTGCCTGGACTTACCTGGAATCATAATCCTCAAAATATCAGATTCTCACACAGATAGGATGATAAACGCATTCTACCACACCCAGCTATTGGTTGAAATGGCATTTTGTAAACTTTCTGCCTGAGCTAGCCTCAAATTGTGATCCACCTGTTTTCTGTCTCCTGAGTACCTAGAATTGCAGGCACAAGCCACAAGTAGCCAGTTTATAAATATTTTCTTTTTTAAGATGGGCTGGTAAGGTGGCTCAGTGGTAGAGTGCTTGCCTTTCATGCATTGAGGTCCTGGGTTCGATTCCTCAGCACTACATTAACAGAAAAAGCAGGAAGTGGCGTCGTGGCTCAAGTGGTAGAGCACTAGCCTTGGGCTGAAGAGCTGAGGGACAGAGCCCAGGCCCATAGTTCAAGCCCCAGGACTGACTTACATACATACATACATACATACATACATACATAAATTGAGCTTTCTAAATGGACTTGGTAAAATGAAACCCCCTTAAAACAACTAAATGATGTCAATTAAAAATATATTCAGTTTTCCCAACAGTAAGCATTTTAAACATGCTAATATGATTCAAGTATGGAATATTTCCTAAACCTCTAGCATTATAAAGATGAATAAGTAAATAGTGCGTATGTGGAAATCTTAGAATCAATTACATAGTATATTTTATTGTCTAGCTGTTTGGGTCCTCATCAACTAAAATTTTAGGATTTTGAGTAGCTATGCTGACCTGCTTTCACTTTTCACATGCCAACAACACTCCTTCCATACCTGTACAGCATCTTTCACCTTGGGCCTGTTGCTGTGAATATACGCTCTGCATTTTACAGCACCCTTAAGGTTTATAGAACCACTGCATGTCTGGACTGTGGCTGTGGATCTGTGGTCTGAATTCAAGAGCTGAAAGATAAACTTGGTTTCAGTCTTGACAACCAACAATAATTAACTATATGGCATTGAAACATTACATAAATCATGTTTAGGAGAAGGAAATTTTTAAAAATAACATTTTAACCATTTGGGTATCACAGCTGCTGAGATGAAAGGAAATTTTTACTAAGTCAATTACTAAGGAAATTTTTACTAAGTCAATAAATTATTTAAAAACCTTAATATTTCTCTTTATAAGTTATATTTTATAACCATTTTGAATGTAAGTTGAAATCAAGCCTAACTACATATAAATATGTTTTTATTAACAAAGACATCCAAAGTATCAATCTGCAAAATATTCACTAAGAAATGCATTATTTACGATTAGTCTGGTAAGCAGTGTGAAGATAAAAAATGCAGACATTAGTTGTGCTGACAGCTTTCGTGTGGTCTTGTTTGTGATCATTTGGGTAAATGCACAAGAGTGGGATTGCTGGGTCATAGGGGAGCTCTATGTGGTGTCTTTGGAGGAACCTCCATACTGCTTTCCAAAGTGGTTGAACAAGTTTACACTCCCACCAACAATGCAGTAGGGTTCACTTCTGGTCACATCCTCTCCAACATCTGTTGTTATTAGAGTTCTTGATTATAGTGATTCTAACTGGGATGAGGTGGAATGTTTAAATAGGGATACAGGTTGATCCATTGTAACAATGAGATGTACAAGACACTATGTAAAAACCAACTTTACAATTTAGGTGTGGGGGAGTGTAGTTGTAGAGGTGGGAGGGAATTGAATGGTAGGAGAAAAACAAAGGAGGCAACAATGCTTGATAAGAAATGTACTCATTACCTTGCTCATGTAACTGTAACCCCTCTGTACAGTATTTTCACAATTTAAAAAAAACTTATTAAAAATGCAGAGAAACATAGTATAGTAGGAGATACCAAGTGTCCATGAGAACTACACAAAAGGGGCTGGGAAGGTGGCTCAGTGGTAGAGTGCTTGCCTTGCATGCATGAGGTCCTGGATTTGATTCCTCACCACCACATAAGCAGAAAAAGCTGGAAGTGGTGCTATGGTTCAAGTGGTAGAGTGCTAGCCTTGAGCTGAAGAGCTGAGGGACAGCTCCGAGACCCACAGTTCAGGCCCCATGACCAAAAACACACAAAAAAAGAACTACACAAAATAAGTATACCAAGTAGGACATGATAAATATGGTAAAATTATAATCAATGTATACCCTCCCATTTATTTATATACTTTCAATACACAACTTCCACATGCTAAATGTAATGCTATGGTTTGTTTACATAAAAATAGAATGTCAACTATGAGTGTGACCACAAAATATTAATGATTTTAAACTGATTAAATGGTTGTATTTTCATATCGCAGTTCCATCATTAGTGTAAGGAGTACTCACTCCTGCTTGGTTTTCAGATGTTTTACATTTTAACCTCACCATCCTAATATGTACCAAAACAGAGAGAGCATGAAATGTTACAAAGTCCCTTATTGACAGCCTATCATCACAAGGAATATAAAAAGCATGATTAATAAAACTGGTCAGGATGGGAAGGGATGGGAAGGGGAAACAAAGGAGGAGGCTACAATGCTTGATAAGAAATGTACTCATTATCTTGCCCATGTAATTGTAACCCCTCTGTACAGTATTTCCACAATAATAAAAAAAAAAGGATTATACCTAGGAGAAAAAGTCAACAGTAATATTTGAAAAAAAAAACTGGTCATGATAAGAAGATAATTTATATTTCAAGTACACTTGAAATAAATCAATAAATAAGTGGTTTTGTTTGGGAGAACAAAACAAAAGTAATATAACTTGAGAGAAGTGTTATATGATTATAAACTCAAGAAGAAACCAAAAAACTGATAAAATACAAAAATGTGAGTAAACATAGTTACTGAAAAGAGCATTAATAATCAATGTCTAATATAGTTCAAGCAAAAATTAGTTATTTTTAAGAATTCAAATTTAACTATGGCTAAGGTCTTGTTAGTAAAAAGTCTGCCACGGTTCATATAATTTTACAGCTCTATGGTCCAATAAAAACTGTTTATCATCAAATGAAACAGTAAGGTGACAATGTTGATACTGTTTTTTGGAAGAGTGCTATGTCACTGGTACAGTTCACTGGTATACCAATAAAGTATGTGGGAGGTGGAGCTAAGATTATAGACATAAACTACCATGGCTACTTCACTTTATTTTAAAATACCTTCCACATTTCTATTTCTATGGCTCCTCTTACCTTTAACTAATTTTATTTATATATGTTTTATATTGTAAAGATTTATCTTTTTATTTTATCACATTCTTTCCCTTATTTTTTTCCTCTTAACTCTGCTTTTCCTTCTTTTCTCTGTTCTATGAAGCCCCTCCTTTATTTTATTCATTTATTTTTATTATATTAATTTTTAATTACATAGATTATTCTATATTATTTTTGCTACCTTCTTTTCTAAGATTATTGCTGATACGGTAGTTGGCTTTATTTTAATTGCATTTCTGTATCTAGTTTGTCCTGGTAGTGATGTTTATTTTATCCCCTCTGAGAGGTACTAGAAATTGATATATCAAAAAGCTGCTCACTAGAAAGGAGGCCTCCAAATTAAACTGGAAGAGATGTTCAGTTTTATTAAAGTTGTTTAATATCTTTAGTCATGAAGGAATTGTAAAGCAATACTATATTGAGATTCAATCTCACTACAGTTAAAATTACTATCAAGAAAACAACAAATTCTGTCAAGGATGCAGGAAAAGGGAACTCTCATTTACTGTTAGTGAGGGTGTGAATCAATGTAGACACTAAAAAATCAGAAGGGAGGCCCATATAAAGTTGAAATAGAAATAGCCAGTGATCCACGTATACCACTTCTGAGTACATACGTGAGAGAATCTTTTATCAGTATACAATATAGTTACCTAAATACTGATTGTAGAACTAGTCACAATAGCAAAGTTATGAAGTCAGTCTAGGTATCATCAATGATGAATGGATTAAGAACACCACACAAACATACATACATACATACATACATACATACACACACACACACTTTTATTCAGCCATATCAAAATTATGTCAACTGTAGAAAATAGATGGAAGTAGAGTTCACCATATTAAACAAAATAAGCCAGATCCACAAAGACAAAAATCTCATGTTTTTTCTCACATGTGGAATCTATGTAAAATAATAAACAAAAAAAGTAAAAGAAAATTATTTAGGAAGATAAAGGGGACCATGGGAGAGGGGCAGACAATGTAAGAGAAGAGAAAATACCAAAGGATAACTTATGCATACATGAAATACCAAATACATTTATAAAGCCCTTTAATCTATTAAAACTAGTATACATTGATAAAAAACTTAAAAATTAGGGGAAACATAAATAAAATAATGTTTCTTGAGAGTACCATTCATGTAACTGGAAATTTTATACAGTTTCTTATATCTGTAAATTTTTCTTTACTCTGAAATGCAAAAACAATTTCACTATCACTATGTTAAAAATAACACATTTTAAATAAGTAGTATTTAAAATACTTACCAAATGTGTTAGTACTCGAACATCAAGAGAATGACTGGTTACTTGAGTATTTCCTCTAGATTTTTTCTAAAAAAGAAAACCATAATAGTTGTAAGAAAACTATTCTACATACAGTAAATAACTGAGAGAAAAAAAACAATCTTATTTCTTGTTTGCACTTATCTTTTTATACAAACATATTACTTAATACATTTTGTTTCAATCAAAATTAAGTATGAAGTTTATAATATGAAGACTAAATTAAAATGACACACCCTAATGCAGGCTTTATGACTCTAACTACATCAGAATATCAATTAGTACATGCAACCAGTTTTCATGATGGCCAGTACAAAAGATAAATCTTTTAATATGCTTTAAGCACAAATTATTTCATAAGAAAGTAATTTTTCTTTTACTCACCTGTCCTTCTAATAGATCACAATCTCCATCTTTAATTTTTCCATTAATTAAATAAACACCATTTTCTATTTGCTTGGCCCACCGTGTAAGTCCATTCTTAAAAGAAACATAACATGGAAATCTTTCAGATTTCATCTCCAACTCTCTAAGCTCAATTTTTTTCTACTTAATACATTGAAAATTTGAAAAGCCTTAAATCTCAGTTTTGAAGTATTTAAATCTACTCAAAGAGTCATAGTTAAAAAAAAAACCTATACCCTAATCATTTGGTACCTTATCCACATAATAATTTTTCCAATCACAGATCAGTTTTATTAGCTACATGAATTTTATTATATAACAAAATTTAATCATGTCCATTATTGTTCAAAGTATGGGAAGAAAAAATGAGCCTCAAACAAATAATAGAAAGCAGCATTAAAGAGGAAAAATAAGTAAGCATCATTTGCCTTCTTCAATTTGGAAAAGTAATTGAAAAATGAAATAAACTTTACAGAAATATAAATGACTTGAAAAAGAAGATAAAACCAATAAGCATCAAGAGAAACTATAAGACAAACAATATAGCTACATTTTACATAGGTTAATTAACAAATGTTAATTAAGCATCTATGTGCTAAATATACTAGTATAACATGACACTCCTAATCTGGTTGGAATAATTTGTTAACTACTCAGATATAACACAATCATTCTAAATGCAGTACAGTTATGAGGACATGAAATGACTGTCAGAACCAGGCAGCAGATTGTCAAGCAAATAAGCACTGTTACCACTGTTACCACTCTGATACCTTTGTATTTTTCTCCAGAGTATAGGTGACAGAAGTAGTAGAAAGTGGGATATGAATGTTAATGTTAACAGTACACTCTAGGGAAAGCCATGAGGTGGACAGTCCATTCTGATACTTCCAATCTGCTGGTCTCGGTGAACACTTAAGCAAGGCATAAAACAGAAAAACATAGACGATATAGTTTAGATAAAATATATGCATTGATGAAACATCATGGAAGCATACAATCTTAATAACTAGCATAAACTAATATCCCAAGTATTTGGTCGTATTTCTTGATCAAAGGGTAAACTAAGTAGAGAAGAAAGCATACATTAAATTCAGTACTAATTTACACACACTAGGAAACTATGGCATCCCCCAAAGGACAGGTAGGAAAAGGACAGAAAGTTCTGGGTTTAGAATATGAAAACTCCTCTACACCTCACGCATTTACTGATCTCTTCTATAGTGACAATTCTAAAAATTCTGATTTGTAGCAAGTAAATATATCCTAGTAGGTGTCAGATGTTCTCCTTTTTTTGTCCCTCCTTGTTAACAAAACTTAAAAGTTACTATTTTTTCATCTTAACACAATGATGATCTGGATTCTGCTGAATACAGGTAGCTTATTGACTAGGCATGCTAGTTACAAAGACATTTTCAGTCACTTTTATAATCACCTTCTTTTTTTTTTATTTTTATTTTTTTTTTGAGTCTCGTTGTGGGGCCTGAACTCTGGGCCTGGGCGCTATCCCTCAGCTCTTCAGCTCAAGGCTAGTGCTCTACCACTTGAGCCATAGCGCCACTTCCGGCTTTTTTCTTCTTGTTTATGTGGTGCTGGGGAATCGAACCCAGGGCCTCATGCATGCAAGGCAAGCGCTCTACCACTGAGCCACTTTCCCAGCCCCGTATAATCACCTTCTTAAATATAAGATTAAATATGTAAGTTAGCAAAAATATTTTAACAACTAAAATTTTTTCCTTAACTGTAATAAAATTACTCATACTCTGAAAAAAAAGTGATTGTAGATAGTAATAAGGAATTATAGCACTGAAAACTTTTCAAACTAAATATAAAGGAGAATTTTTTAATGTTTGCAAAACAAAAATCTTTAAACATTTCTAAGAATAAAAATCAATTCTTCTTACCTTTGGATCATGGACATCATAAGTTCGACATGATATTCTTTACTAATTAAGGATAGAAATGAACAAAAAAGAACTAATTCTTGATAGTTAACAAAATATACACCACCAAAAAATAAATAGTACCTGCATCCAAGAATTTTTATACATCACAATGTTATATAGCTAAAGATGTATATGTAAATGTATAGATATGTTTATGTGTACATACATATAAACTGTTCAGAATATAGTAATCCTGGTGTTTTAAAACACCAGGATTTTTCAACATTATTAATTAAAATAGACTGGAAGCATTTGTAAAGTTTCCCTCAAATATGACTTGTAAAGCAAAGAGAGTGCTGGTTTGGATGGGATCAAGCATTAGAATATCTATTAGGCTGAAAACTCATATGCAACTTCCCAGGTAGATAACAAGAAAATAAAAAGCTCATTTTCTCTAAGACTCGTCATTTTGTCTCCAAGGAGTCCTAATTTATTGGGCCCTTGGAGTGTTACTCCTTTAGTGAGGCTGCTTCTTGCTTGGAAGTTCTTCCCTGGTACATTAAAGAGAAAACACTCTAAGGAGGTCTTGTAATTGGTTTTTAGATTTACTCAATCCTGGCCAAAGGCATAGGGATTTCGAAGAGGTCTATACTGTCCAGCTTAGTGCATCTATGCTTTGAACTGCACATTTTATTTTTAAGAAATAAAGGTAATGTTTTTACTAAAATAAAGCCATTAAAGCTAGGCACCAGTGGCTCATGTCTGTAATCCTAACTACCCAGGAGGCTGAGATCTAAGGATTGTAGTTCAAAGCCAGCCTGGGTAGGAAACTCCATGAGATTCTCATCTCCAATAAACTACTCAAAAAAGTTCTAAGTGGCGGTGTGGCTCAAGTTATTAGAGCACTCCCCTTGAGCAAAAGAATCTCAGGGACAGTGCCTAGGCCCAGAGTTAAGTCCCAGGACCAGCAAAAAAACAAAACAAAACAAAAAACATTAGTCTGACTGTCCATAGGCATGTAGATCTCCTTACAAGGCTTACTAAGGTATGTAGAGATGACTGGCAAAGAACTTAATCCTCAGTCCTTGCTATCTCTCTTAAACTCTTCAACTATTATTACTATTGTTATTATTATTGACAGGCCTAATAAAAATTATATATTATTAACAAAAACAAAAAGCAGACTGTAATTTTTTATTTAAAAAAAAAAGGATTATTTAAGCCAGGTGCTGGTAGCTAATACCAATAATCCTAACTACTCAGCGAACTGAGGTCCAGATGATCCAAGACCAGCCTGAGTAGAAAAATCCATTAGACTCTAAAATAAAAGCGAAAAGATAGTTGGAGTTGGCTCAAATGGTAGAGTACTGCCAAGCAGCTCAAGGCTCTGAGTTTGAAATGAAAAACTGAAGACATTAATAAATGTTTAAGAAAATATTGTGAACAAGTCATTTAAATAGGGATACAGGCGGACCCATTGCAACAATGAGAAGTACAAGTTGTTATGTTGAAAACGAACTTTACAACTCTGGTGGGGGGGGGGGGGAGGATTGGGTGGGGGAAGGGGGGGAGGTGGATGGGAAGGGATGGGAAGGGGAAACAAAGGAGGAGGCCACAATGCTCGATAAGGAATGTACTCATTATCTTGCCCATGTAATTGTAACCCCTCTGTACAGTATTTTCACAATAAAAAAAATTAAAATTAAAAAAAAGAAAATATTGTGAACATTGTTTTGGTGCCTTATACTTGTAACTATAAACACTTAAGTAAAGGATACTTTTTTGTAGAAGAGCAAAGATGAACTAGTACCCGTTCTGAGACTTCCTCCTCGGTGAAACTCCATAATCTTTTTCTATTCATAGACTTTACCATAGCAAATATTATCTGAAAGGCAGAAAAACAAAACACACATTAATTTGATGCAAAATGAAATTAGTAGAAAAGACAATTACAATGTCCCTAAGGCTTCACTTAGCTTTAACATTCCATGTCTACTATTGATTTTTACTTCCTTCAAATCTAAGAGAATTGATATATTAACCATTTTGGATTCTTTTTTTTGCGGGGCGGGGGGAGAGGAGGGCAGTAGCACTATTTCTTAGTTTTTTCACTCAAGGCACTATTTGAGCCACAAGGGCTCCACTTCTGGCTTTGGTGGCTAACTAGAGATGAGTTTCACAGACTTTCCTGCCCAAGCTAGCTTTGATTCTTGAGCCTCAGATATCAGGCTCCTACATAGCTAAATTTATAGGAATAAGCCACTGGCATCCAGCTTTTTTTTGGGGGGGGGGGGGGCTTGAATTCAGTACCTGGGTACTATCTCTTACCTTTTCTTTTTCACTCAAAAGTGGGCTACAACTAGCCAGGCATTGGTGGCTGAGATCTGAGGAGCATGGTTCAAAGCCAGCCCAGGAAGGAAACTCATGAGACTCATCTCCAATAAACAACTCAGAAAACCGGAAGTCAGAGTTCACACCCCATAACCGACCAAAAAAAAAGGATTGGGCTACAACTCCACTGTTTAATTTTAGTGTAGTTTACTTTTAATAGGATTTACATTAAAATTGTGTTTAAAGTAAAAATTATAATTTTCACTAATGATTCACAGGACATGAAAAATTAATTTGGGGCAGCTAGAATTTACATAAAATGCGGAATAGAAATTTTCGGTTAGAAGACGAAATGCAACTACAAAACAGTGAAGCTTGTTCAATTAGCTGCTTTTTTTTTTTTTTTTTTTTTTTTGGTCCTATGGCTTGAATTCAGGGCTTGGGCACTGTCCCTGATCATTTTCACTCAAGGCTTGTGCTCCACCACTTGAGCCACAGCTCCACTTCTGGCTTTTTGGTGGCTAATTGGAGATAAAGTCTCAAGGACAGGCCTCGAACCATGATCTTGAGATGTCAGTCTCCTGAGTACCTGAGAATATAGGTGTGAGCCACTGGCAACATTTCTTACTTAAATATCACAAAAGACTTAACATAATATATAAGGATGCACACACATAGAAAAGTCCGTGTAATGTCATAAATTTGCATTTAGAAGTAAGCCAGACCCAGGGAAATATTGGTTGCATGGATTCCCTCATTTGTGATAGCTACCATGTGCCTGCAAACCTACAAGCAAACACACTGCATGGTTAAAAAAAAAATACTCTGGTACATGATAAATTATACAGGTCTCTAGACATTCACACACGGTGAGACCAAAGGAGGATATTCTCAGGAGAGGTATAGAAAGGCCCCACCTATGTGCATCTAATTATATAAAATAATATTTATCAAATGAACTCCAGGAAATAGAAATAATTTTCTTTGTTGTTATTTTTATTTTCTTTGTTTTCTTTTTTGTCTTGTTCCTTTAGATCTGTTGTTGGGAGGGCCTGCGGGGACACCGAAATGGCGGGACAAATGGTGAATAAATGCAGCAGTGGTACTCACTTAACACTATATTGAAAATGAACTATAAAATTTGTGGGTGGGAATGGGAGGGAAAAACTGGAAGAGAGTGAGGGAAGGGGTGATACTGTTCAAAAAAAAATGTACCCATCTGACATGTAACTGTAATTCTTCTGCACATCACCTTTATAATAATAAAAATACAAGAAAGAAAAAAGAATTCTAAAGTACACACTTGATAAGGGTGGGGTGTCATAAACATGGTTCTAAGCTTCATAACACTAATATGCAGAGAACTGTAATTTATTATCTAATTTGAATGATCCACAAACAAAAGAAACAATTGATCAGAAGATCTACAACTTTTTTGATGCTGATATAAAAAGAAATTTCCCCTACTATTATTTTATATTATTTTACATAATGACCAAAATTCTTAACAGTAAACTTTATAGAAGGCATTAAGGAAGTTTTATAAGATTATTTCTTAGAGTGTCTCTCAATATAATAATTTGTTTTGTTTTTTCATTTGTGGGGTTTTATTTAGAGCCTCTTGGTCCCTAGTCCTTTTGTTTTAAGTTAATTTTTCAATAGTGTCTCCTACTACCTTTGAGTTGGCCTCAGACTACGATCCTCCTATCATTCATTATCTCTTAAGTAGCATGCACCATAACAGGCAGCCCCATTCTTTTCTGCTTTTCTTTTTCTTTTTCTTTTTTTTGGGGGACACAGTCTTGCTATGCAGTTGAAACTAGCCTGGAATTTATGTGGTAGCTTCAAACTCATTATTGTCTTTTTATTCAAGTATGGGTATTATAAGCATTCATTACCATGCCTGGCTGAGATATAGTATTACTCATAATCTTAGAAACAAAAGCAAAAGGAAAGAAGATCTGACTGTATCCTTTGGCACTGAGTCAACATGTATCCAATTAATAATGCAGCAACCACAAAATAATGTATAAACAATGTTATTAATACTAAATATCCATAGATTTGCATTATATTTCAAATGGTCAAAGATAACGTACAATGGTGAAAAAGATAAATGGAAAATGGAAAAGAGGGTGTGATACTAACAAGGAAGGGAGCATCTCCATTTTTCTTTCCTTGCTCAGTTAGGCACAAAATCAGACACCTGATAAGAGAAGTTACAATACTGGAAGAATGAAGAGAATTTAGGCTTCTAAGTTCCATATAGTTTTAACTAATTCCCCAGCCCTGGGGACCTTGGTGGAGGGCTTGCTTCTGAAAAATATAAACTTCTCTTTCTTGGAGCGTAAATACCTTTCTGAAGGCTTATGTGGATCTTGAGTACTAAGAGAGATGAAAATTGCCTGCAAACAGGTTTACACTCTAGGTTTGAATTTGTTTAAGAGCAAACATTTTTAGAAATTCATATTTAGTTTTAGACAACATTATCTAATTGTATAAGTCATAAGAGACATAAATAGGATATGTACTCTGAACAGGAATAAAAAAATTAAGTAGCTATTTGTATTTTAATTTCAAGATTTCTTTTTCCTTGGTGAGACTAGGGGTTTTGAACTTAGGACCTCATGCTCATAGGCTGATATAATACCACTGAGCCAGATCTACAGCCCTGTTTATCACTGGTTATTCTTAGCATAGCATCTTGCTCGATTCCTACTTGGTCAAGTACCAAAGCCTTGATCACCTAGTATACAGTTCTTGTTGCCACTAGGATTACAGAGTATCTGTCAGCAGAGATAAGAGTCTCATAGACTCATAGGACCAGGGCTGTCCTGGCACCACAATCCTCCCAAGCTCAGTCTCTCATGTAGCCTGGGATAACAAATGCACACTACTGTGCCCAGCTGTGGACTGAGATGGGGTCATGGTAACTTTTCTGCTCAGATTGTTCTTGAATTTTAATTTCCTGTTCTTACCCTCCCAAGCAGCTAGGATTACAGAAGTTAGCCATTAGGGGAGTCCAGATAGAGTAGTTTGTTTATTTAATTATTGAAACAGGGTCTTGACATATAGCAGAAGTGGGCCTGGAATTTGTTAGGCAGCCCAGTCGGACCTCAAACTCACCATCACCCTGCCTCAGTTTCCCAAGCATTGGGATTACAGGTATATGCTACCACACCCACACAATTTCAGGATCTTCAGAAAAGCAAACAAAAAATAAGTTCATATTATAGCAAACACATATTACTAAGTGTACTACCTAGCAGAAAACTGTATATAAAAGAAACCGTCAAACCATTGTAATTTAATAACATTCAGAAATTCTCTTTGGAACTAGAGTGTAACTCAGAGATACAATGCTTGCCTAGTATGTGTAAAGACCCGTGATCCACCTTCAGAACCACCAAAAAAGCAAAAGACTATTTTTAAAACAAAGACTACTTTGAAATATATACCTTTCATTCCAAATGATTCCATTTATCACATTCAAAGTACCCAAGTGATTGGATTAAAAAAAAGCTGTGTCAACATGGTCCTAGCATAAACAATTTTATAACACTAATCTAAATGTGCCTAGTGTATGTATATAATTAATTTAAAATCCTGGGTATTTTTAATTGCTATTTAACTTATTATATAATTTTGACCTTACTAGGAATATTTTGGTATCTCAGACTTACTCTGCGCAGAGCATTTTGAAAATCATTTGCCAGTTCTAAAGTTGTAATAATAAATACTCCAAGAACTAAAAGTCCTCCAGGCAACATTCTAGATACCTAAAAGTAAAAACAAAGTATTAGCTACCATAAGCATGTGCAGTCTTTTCTATTTGACAAAATACACATTAAACCAACAAATACTTACCCAATACCAACTACACATACAGCATTGATGCAAGTACAGTTGAAAATCTGGTAAAAATAATGTCAAACATGATTACAGCTACTTCCTAACTTCAAGTGGATTTTGCTCTACCACCTATGGAATTCTTGACTTTTTTATAATGACATACTACTCTACTATCACAAACATGTACTCTTAGGGGCAGAACACAAAGGCTCAATGTTTCTGTACCTATGATCATATAATATTTATTGAAATGAAAAGAAAAACAAGTACATATACATAGAAACATGTATACATACAAACATACACAGCTGACACACCTTATTTGAGCCATGCCTCTGATTGTTTGGCTGATTAATTGGAAGATAAGAGTTTTTTGGACTTTTGTTTGTTCGCAGTGCTACAAATCACATCCAAAGCCTTGGGGATGCTAACCAAATGTTCACCTGACCTTGGGTTTTTTGAGACAGGGTCTCAGTATATAGTTTAAGTTGGCCTTGCACTCTAAATCTACCTGCCTTAGCCTCCAAGTGCTGGGATTACAGGAGCATGCCACAATGCCCTGCTCAATTCTGCTTTTTTAATTAGCTAATAATAGCTAAAAAGTTTTTTTAATTTAAAAAGCAAATAAAAATATAAAATTTTACCTTTATTTAATCTCATGTGTTTTACTGGATGCCAAGATTTATTCAATGAACACTTTTTCTGGGAGGAGATGGTCATGGGACTTGAACTCTGGGCCTGGACACTGTCTCTGAGCTCTTCAGCTCAAGAACTACTTGAGCCACAGCACCACTTCGGGTGGTTAACTGGAGATAAGAGTCTCACAGACATTCCTGTCTGGGCTGGCTCTGAAACAATTCTCAGATCTCAGGCTCCTGAGTAGCTGGGATTACAGCTGTGAGCTACTGGCGCCCAGCTTAATGAATACTTTTAAGTGAATTGGTTCATTCATTCCCTTTCACCATCCCTAAATCATTTCACTGCTCTTAATGGTAATATTCTTCTCATAGACACCCATAATAAAACATTAGTAATCTTAGTTACTCTCTCCCCTATATCTCCCTATCTCTCCCAATATCAATCCAGTTGGTTGCTAAATCTTCGGAATTTTAGTTCTTCTCTGAAACCATTTCACAACAAAAGTTCTAGCTCCAATTATCCATGTATTCACTTTTCTAACATTTTAGAGTACTACTATAAACCACAGAAATACTGTTTTAGGCACACAGAGTGCAGCCATAGATAATATACATGTGACTCATGCCTGTACCAAGTTCAGAATCTAGTTCAGGCTCATGCCATCTTCTACATATTTGTTCTGTTTCTAGTCTCTTTATTCTCCAATCTACATTGGTTATAATATCAAAGTTATCTTCTAAATTACTAGAAAATCAATTACATTAGTGCCTTCAAGGATCTCTGAAAGTCTACCATATGAGTTGTCTGTCTATTAAATGCATTCCTTACAACTGCACTCAAAAGCCAAACACTGGCTCTTTCTACTCTTATGTTTTATATATTTTTCTGTAAACCTCACGTTTCAGCTATATCCAATTACTTGTCATTTTAGTTTTATATCTTTGTCTCATTTATCCATAATACCTTTAATGTATTCAGAATATCCTCTGACTTCTTCTATTGAAGAAGACTTAATCACTCAAGTTTAGGGCCTTTTGTAAAGCTATCTAAATCCAACTGGCTATTTAAAATAAGTAGTCTGAAATCCTAGTCTAGTAAGTAAGATGAGAACAAAAATTTTTTTCTGTTAGTCAAATAAATACACACAGTTGTATTAAAAAGACCAGATTACCTGATTGGCATGTTCTGTGGCCCATTCTTCATCCAAATTATCCAACTTAGCTTTTGGATGTCTGGGGTTCTCATTACTTTCCTCTTTGGGTGGTGTTCTAGTGGCAAGAATCACATAATCCTTTTGTGAAGAACACTTCAAAACAAATTATAAAAGCTATTAGTGATATCTGATTGAAGAACCAGGTACCTTAGCTGTTAGGACACACACAAACTGAATAATATTTGTAGCAGATAATTAATAGCCATATTGTTATGAACTCTCTATTCACAAAAATTAAACTGTCCTATATGTTTCTTTCACATATTCTTTAACTTATGTTAAATATTAACTTATTTCTTTGTACATCCCAAATACATACATCATAAACGCAGTATATTATACAAGTAAATAGATTACATTAAAAAAATATAATATACTCAATTAACTTTCTAATTATTGTTATTTTCCAAATAATTTGCATGTTAGCTATTTAGCAAGTATAAAATCTCAGTAAAATAATAGATCTTTGTGAATGCTACTTTAATTGAAAAGGAAACTTTTTGGTATGTCTGCAGAACAACAAGGAATTTGGAATAAATCAAAGTGATCCCAGAGTGTATGATTTTCAATTTTTACTATAGCTAGGTAACAAAAGTTGTAATATACAAACTTAGAAAACACAGGACAGCTCAGCTTCACTACAGTGAAAGGACCCTAAACATAAGGAAAATGAGGCCGATGATGCAAGTTAGTGTGGTAATATCTACACATACAACCTGACACTCCCTGATGACCACTATTATCATCTTGGAATATAAATTAAGGACTAATTATTTTTTTTGTTTTGTTTTGTTTTGTTTTTGGGGGGTCCGGTCATGGAGCCTGAACTCTGGGCCTGGGCGCTGTCCCTCAGCTCTTCAGCTCAAGGCTAGCACTCTACCACTTGAGCCACAACGCCACTTCCGGCTTTTTTCTTTTTGCTTATGTGGTCCTGAGGAATTGAACCCAGGGCCTCAGGCATGCAAAGCAAGCCTCTACCACTGAGCCACCTTCCTAGCCCAAGGACTAATTATTTTTACAGAAGTAATTTCCAGAAAATTATAGTGAAATATACACAGCAAAAGCAAATACTCCTGATTGAAGAGATTCTTGGAAAGGAAAGAAGAGAAGAGTGGAAGGAAGGGGAGGGGTGGGAAGGGGTGAGGAGGAAGGAAGATGATTTTGGAAGTAAGAGGATGAAAAATCTTGAGAACAGTGAGTGCTGGAATCAGGGAAAGAAAAAAAATCAAAGGAATGAAAAGATAGCCTAGAGCCTGATGCAGTAGCTGACAGTTATAATGAGGAGCATGAGTATGTGTAGCTCATACTTCTAATGAGGATCATTAGTTGGAAGCCACTTTCAGCTATGCAAAAAGTGCTGGTTAGCATGTAGACACTGGAAGACAGACTTAGATGCAAGACTGCAGTTTAACAGAGCTCTGAAACAACCTATATCCAAATTTAGAACAAGGTCTTAACCCTTAATATTTTATCTCTACTGAACAAATCCTTGTCCAAGGCTCCTTTAAAATTTTTAAACAAAGAGAAGTAAAAACTCTTAGAATAAAAAAGATTCCACATTATATACTAAATAACCTAAATTTAAAAGAATTACAGGCCAGACACTGGTGGCTCATGCCTTAATCCTAGTAATTCAGATCTCAGGAAGCTGAGATTTGAGGATCATGGTTCAAAGACAGCCCAGGAAGAAAAGTCCCTGTGAATGAGACTCTTGTCTCTTAACCACTTAAAAAAGCAGAAGCAGTGCTGTGGCTCAAAGTGGGAGAGTGCTAGCCTTGAACAAAAAGAGCTCAGGGACAGAGCCCAGCCCCTAAGTTCAAGCCCTTCAACCACCACGAATAACAAAAAAAAAAAAAAAATGAGAGAGAGAGAGAGAGAGAATTATAGATCACTTTAAGAGAAACAGTTTGATTGTCCAACGAAAGGTCCTCTAGGGTATACTACCTGAGAGAACAATGTAAATATGCCCTTTCTTCTAAGAAATCTTATTTTCAAAAACTCTGAAAATGAATCTATCTGTCTGGGCTAGACTGATGTTAACTAAACTCATGAGAATGATGGAGAGAACTTAATTGTCACAAAGGTCTCAACTCGTGATTTCTCTTACAATGTATTCCTTTTGTTTATTTACAGCAATGTGGATCAAACCCAGGACCTTGCACATGCTAGACAAGTCCTCATCAACAGAACTGCACCCCTAGTTTTGTGCTTTGTTTCTAAGTAGATAAGTCAGGTAATATGGACTTAATATGGGCCATAAAATTACAAGAGAAATAGCTTGGAATGTAAACAGAATCAGAAAAGGCAAGTTAACTATGAAATCTGAGATTCTAAAGCATCAAACAGTTTGACAGCAGAAATAAAATTCTCAGTATAAGAGTTTATTTACTACTAGGCCTCAAAACCAAGCCCTCAGGGGCACTGCATACTGTCCTGTCCCTTCAGTGTCTGAATGGAAACTAACAGCCAGATTGCTTATGTGACTTTATTGCTTTATTTTTTTGCTTTGTGCTGATGACCCATTCTTCCTTTTTTGATGATTAACACATTCTTCTTTCAATTATAATAAGTGATTGCTATGATTTAGAAACATGTCCAAATCTCAGTCCCATTCTGTGTTGGCCTAATACCCAATTTTCATTCTATCCCTTTCCCTACTTCTCTAGTCAATATTTTTTTTTAGATTTCAATAAAACAGGCATTATAACATATAACAAAAATATGACTATTGCTGCATTGTCCAAACTAAGACAAGGCACAGTAGAATGGGAATAGAATTATAAAAAGCTTCTGTTGTGAAGAAATAGACAACCAAGAATTAATAGAGATTGGAAAGGAGTGAAAAATGTTTTGGAAAGAGGATAAAATGTTATAAGTCTGGTTAGTAAAATTCTAAATTTGAGTTTGTATGAAAATTAATTCACAGTATCCAAAGACAATGCATGCTAACTTCAGCACACCTGGGCCAGATGTTTCTCAAAGATCTGCTATAGATTTACTACATACATCACATTCTTCCATACACCAATCTCAATTTTTTATTAAATAGCATATTTAACTCTAACATGCAGTTTGTTTTACTCAATAGATGTAGGGTAAAAAATACATACCTGTCCTATCAAAAGACCACAGACAAAAGCTTTTCCTTGGAGACTGATATTTGAAAGATACTGGCCAACAGTTTCTTCTACAATGTAGGTTCTTCCCATTATTGAGAGCAAATTCAATCTCCTAAATAACAGGATAAAAAATACATTTTAGGTAAGAATATATTTTTCAATGTTCTTAGCATGAGGGTAGTAAAGAGAAAAGTAATACGATATAGATATTCCAAATCTTGTAGTCACTGCTTACTAACACGAACATTCTTTTGTACAAAATTCCAATATAATTTCAGAATTGTTTCCAGGATTTGCTGTAAGAAACATCTACCAATCAACCAGAGTTGACGAGAGTCAAACAGATTTATCATATGGGGATAAAGGAGAGAAGACTAAACTGTTAAGTCAATGCACATGACTTCTTACTTTGGATCTGTTGATACTCCTTACTTGTATTCTCTCGCTAATCTTTTGGTGAGCCTCCATGTTCTCATTTCTAAAATAAAAAGGATGGATTTCTGAATAGTTAATTGGGAGGCAGATTCAAATCTGTTTACTCATAAGCACTAACCGTAAAATTGTTATTTGCTAAAGACTATCCCAGATGGGATGGTAAAAGATGAATAACATTATTCTACCCTTAGGCAACTCATAATAAAAGTTACTTAAGTAAAGAGCAGGCAGGATAATGACAATTACCTATACAGCTTATATCTTATATAGGTACTGCTCTAAGTATTTTACTAAAGTAATACTTAATTCATCAAACTCTTAGGAGGTAGACTATTTCTATCATTCTCATTTCAAAGATGAAGGTATCAAAACCAAAAAAAAAAAAAATCCAAAAGATTAAATAACATCCAAATAATAAAGCTGGTAAAAGTAAACATGGGATTCAAATTCAGGTAGTCTAGCTCAAGTACCCATGGTCTTTGGTATTATGTACATAACCAAGAACCATACTCAGCACTTCGTCTAAACCATTATAAATGTTGCTCTGTTCTGTACTCTTTCCAGTTTGTTAATTCAAATGATTATTATATTAATGTTCCTTTGCCATAAATGACTGTGTCTTAAAAACAAAGATATTAAAGAAGAGCTGGCCACAATAAATGAAGAGGCTCACATTCACTGAAGGGTCCCGCCCCCACCCCGCCACCAAAAAAAAAAAAAAGGTAAAGAAATGATAGTATTTAAAAAAGGAGTAAAATAGAAACAGACTGTAAGAATAAAATTGAAATGTTTTAGAGATAAGAGTCATTTAGGGGGCTGGGAAGGTAGTAGAGCGCTTGCCTTGCATGCATGAGGCCCTGGATTCGATTCCCCAGCACCACATAAGCAAAAAGAAAAAAAAAGCCGGAAGTGGCGCTGTGACTCAAGTGGTAGAGCGCTAGCCTTGAGCTGAAGAGCTGAGGGACAGCGCCCAGGCCCAGAGTTCAGGCCCCACGACCGGACCCCCCCCCCAAAAAAAAAAAAGTCATTCAGGTCTGTGATAAAGCACAACAAAAATCTATTCAATGTCAAGGCTTTACTGGAGTGCTATATCTGATACCAATAGACTATACTGCCACTCTCAAAACGGTTTTGCATTACTTTAAAACTAAAGTCCAGAAAATGGGTTATAGTTTGAAATACTAACCTACTGTTTCAAATAGTCTACTCAGTTTTGTCTCAAAATACACAGCCTCTTTTTAAACAAAGTATGATTCAAAGTGTGAATCAGATTCACATACTTTCATTATAAGGACTAAGTCTAAAACTACCTAGGTCATTAATGCTCTATAATGTTAAGGGCTTTCAACTTTTAACAATGCCTTAACTTTTAACTTCCTTCTAATTCACCATGATATTCTATCCCTTTTCCTTCTACTTTTTTTTTGCAAATTTTTTATTGTGATTAAGTGATTACATAATTTCACAAATTTCACAGTATTGTGGGATAGAGATGCTTAAAGTCACAAACACATTCCTTCTACTCTTATAACTGATTCTAACAAAAAATAGCAAGTGTATCCAAAGGACTGATATTTAATTTTCTAAATGTATCATATGCAAAGTATTAATGTCATCTACTAGCCATATAATTTGTAAGAAATTATATGCAAAAGGAAAATGAAATCTACTAGTCTATGAAAACTGGTTGAATATTGATTTTTTTTTCAGTGCTCTTTAAAAGCTTTTTGCTGTTGTTGTTGGGGATTTGTACTTGGGGCCTGGGTGCTGTTCCCTGAGCCTCTTTGTGCTCAAGGCAAGAACTCTACCACTTGAGCCACAGCACCACTTCCATTGGCTTGGAACAGTGATCCTCAGATCTCAGCCTCATGAGTAGCTAGGATTACAGGAGTGAGCCACCGGCACCTGGCTTAAAAAGCTTTTAAATATAACCAATCAAAAAGGATATTACTAAAAATATTTATCTTCCCTTATAAAGTTGTACATTTCCTTAAATGTTGTAACTCAATCTCTGTGGTCTGTAGATTACTAAACAAAAATGAATGAATGAATGATTGAATGAATGAATGAATGAAAATATAGAGAAAGAGACAAAGACAGAGAGAGAGACAGGGAAGAGAGGAGAGAGCTAGAGAAAGAGAGTTGGGATATTTGTAGATCTGATCTCAAAATTTTTAATTTCAGGATTTTGAGTCTAAGTACAGAATATTACCATTTCCCAAATGATAGATCAATACTGCAATAGTTCTGGCCCAAATGTTTTGCAATTCATAGATATAGACTGTCTCCTATTAAAATATAGCTGGTGGCTCACACAGAAAGCTGAGATGTGAGGATAGTGGTTTGAACCCAACCAGGGCAGGAAAAGTCTGTGTCTTATCTCCAATTAAACACACACACACACACACACACACACACACACACACACACACACACACACACACACTCTCTCTCTCTCTCTCTCTCACACACAACTAAAAAACCAGAAGTGGAGCTGTGGATTAATTATAGAATACTAGCATTGAGAAAAAAAAAAAAGCTGGTACAGCACCCTGGCCCTGAATTCAAGATGTAGTACGGGCACCAAAAAAAGTAATATATATATATATTACTTTATAAATATATATGTATATATGTATATAACATATATATAATCTTTGCACCACTACTTTATATGAAAACCACTCAGCTAAGAAATTCTGAAACAAATCATTCTAATATTCAATTTTATGTAGGAATATTAGATACTATTAACAAAGTTATCAATTTTTTTTTAAAAACACTCTTGGTCTGGAACATAACACAGTACTTCACATGCCAATAACTTTAAAATATAAATATATAGTATAAATATATATTACACATTGCAAGTGAAAGTCAACCTTAAGCCCCTTCTCATATATTTTACCTTAGTTATCGCAAAATATCATTCGATGACTATGTTTATAATTCTTTTGTATCTTCACAACAATGGTTTCAAAAGTAAGAATTTAAAAGTTGGATGCTGTGACTGAAGTCTATAATCCCAGCTACTGAAGAGTCTAGGATCAGAAGAACTAGCCCAAGCAGACATATCTGTGGGATTACTATCTGCGATTAACCAGCAAAAAGCCAAAAGTGAAGGCACGGTTCATGCGGTAGAACCAGTCAACCGTGAGCGGAAAAAGCCCAGCCAGAACTAGAGGCCTTGAGTGCCCCAGTACTGGAGGGCACCAGCACCAGCGCGTGCACACGTGAGTAGGAACTAGAGGAAAACAATCAAGTTCATGTGAGAACCAAATCAATTCACAGAAGGCCCATAACTGTGGGAAATGCAGGGAGGTTTGCCCTATTTTCAATCAAAAACTAGATCTATTTTTTTCAGAAGAATAATCAAACGGGATAAAAACTACAGATCAAACTAGAAATGATGCAAACACGCAGTTCTGTTAAGGTGGCAAGATGACCAGTTTTAAGGATGTGTTTCAAAACTTCTGTTAACAACGTTTTTCCTTCTAAAGCATCAACGTTAAGGTACCGTCTTTTGCAACGTCGCCTTAAAACACGCGTTCCCCCTTCTGATTCTTTTACCGTCTTCCTCAAATATCAAAACCAGGGCTCCGTAAATTCCTGCTGACTCACTCAGCACCTCTTGCCCCCGAACAATCTACGTATACGCTGTCACACAAGATAAATTCACAGACCTGTCCCTGAGTGTGCACACGAGTGACCGTCCGTATGCTCCCTAAACCAGCTCGGCTGCACCCCCATCCCTAACCACAGAGCGTTCGGCTGACTCACCTGCTCTCAGAAGGTGTGCACGCGTGGCACAGGAACCTGTCAAACCGTCAGTCCGGAAAGGAGGGGAGGAGGGTGCAAGCCTCAGCCTCTAGGGGACAAAGGTTCCCCCCAGGCCCCAGTTCCCAGCCAGTGAATTCATCAGCAAGCGACGGGATGCTCGCCCCTCACTTCCCACGCCGCAGCCGGGGTCTTCGGCGTCGGCGGGCGCAGCCTGATGACGCACGCGGCCCCCTCCCTTCACTGCGGTGCCGCAGCCCGAGCGACCGCGGTCACCACCCCGCCCCCCCCTCCCGAGCGCCATTGAGAGCGTGGCGGTAGCCTGGAGCCTGTCGTCCACGGGGACCGATGCCCTCTAGTGGCTCGGTATCTAGAAACCGCCCAAGAGGACGACCCATGGCATCCCGGGGCTTGGACGGTAAGGCCTTCTTGCTCTTTCCGGGAGGGACCGGGGTGGACGAGGACGTCAGGTCTGTGGCGCCACCGCGTGGACGCCAGTCCGGCAGCCGGACAGCAAGAACGTGACGGAGGGGGGGGGGGGGGAAGGGGAGAGGAATGGGGGGGCGGAAAGCGGGGAGGGAAGCGTCGGGCTGGGGTCGGGGAAGAAGATGAGGAAAACACTACGTTTCCCAGAGGCCTGCGTAACGTGGAGCCGCTGGAACCCGGAATCGGAAACTGCGGCGCCAGCCTGTGTAGGATGCTGCCTCTGAACTCGGGTTCCCAGCATGCCTAGCTCCCGGCTGCGGCGCGCGCGCGCGCGCGCGCTCCTTGGGAACCGCGCTTGAAGCTGCGCGCGCATCGGTGCGGGGCGGGGGGAGGGAGTAGGCACTTTGGGCTGCGCGCGCACCTCAGGGCTGCACTTGGGACGCGGGGCTGCGGGTCCCTACGACTCCTGAGGCCCGGCTTCCCTTGCCAGGATCCCGCCGCGGGAGTCTCAGGCGAGCTGGCGCTCGTGAGCCGTCGAGCGACGCCTCCGAGCCGGTGACCAAGGCTTCGGGGTCCTGGCCTTCGCCTTTGTTCGTCGGTACGCCTCCGTTGGCAGCTGTCGCCGCGGCGCGCGGCCCTGCGGACATGGCGTCGGTGTTGCAGCAAGTCCTGGAGCGTTCGGAGCTCAACAAGCTGCCCAAGTCGGTGCAGAATAAGCTGGAGAAGTTCTTGTCGGATCAGCAGTCCGAGATCGACGGCCTGAAGGGGCGACACGAGAAATTTAAAGTGGAGAGCGGTAAGTGGGCGATGCGCCGCTTCCCGCCCCGGCTTCCCTCCTTCAAAGTTGGAACCCTCTGACGGCCTGCGAGCGTTGCTAGTGTCGTCTTCCGGGCTCCGTGGGGCCGCGCGGGCCGTCCATTTCCCACTCCAGTCACTTCTCCTTTTCCAGATCCGGATGCATTTGCCTTGTTTTCTCTGTGCCTAGGGTTGTCTCCGGTAATACTGCTATCTCTGCCCCAGCAAACGAGCGAAATGAAGATTTTTGAGTCAGTTGACGTCAGACTCTTCAAGAGTCAGAGACCCCCTGTTTCCAGCCTCTGAGACCCAGGCTGAATTGATACATCCCCGGTCACGATAGTGTACTTACATCCCCTGTCACTACAGTGTACTTCACTTACTGTTTTGTTGCCCAGTAATTCCCGTAGCGAAGTGGATCATTCCAGAATTAGTGTAGATCATAGCTCTATGGTTAGCAGGAAAATTTTCTCGTTTCCATTTTCTCTACTTTAATAATCTGTGAATACTAAAATAAATCCTTGCTGAAACTTAGTTTAGATGCAAAAAGCAGCACTAGAAATGCAGTGAACTCGCAATAAATACGATTGGTATGACATTCTCTTCCAAAAGTTGGAGTTGGATAATAAAGCCCATTAACACCTGCTTGGAATAACGTACTACTACACCCTTCAGATAAGGAAGGTATCAATGACAGTAGGTTGAACATCCCAGCAAAACAAGAATATGGCCTGCCTGGTTTGTTTTGTTTTGTTTTATTTTCTAACTTGATTGGTAATTTTTGTCTGAATAAATTTGCCCTTCAGATAGTGAATTTAGATAGTTCTCTGTATCTTAAGAGCAGAATGTAGGTCATTGGAGCAGAATATAGGTCATTTGACACTGTATTTTATACACTAAGTATTTCCCCTGATTTAATTCAGGGCCTTGCCTTTCCAGGGAAGCACTCTACCACTTGAACCTGAGGCACATCAACAGCCCTTATTTGCATTGTTTGTTTTCCATATTGGCTTATTTTATGTCCGGGACAGCGGGACTTTCTTAGTGCTACTTCTACTCAGTCCTTTCCTGAATCTAGGCACATGCCATTAGGCCCAGCAGATTGGGATTGTTTTTGTTTGTTTTAGGCAATTTTGTGGTTTAAACTCAGGGCCTAGGTCTCTTGCTACACAAACACCCTACTACGTGAGCCATTCCCCAGCCTACAAAGCAGTTTTTACCCCATTTAATAATTACTTCTTTAAAATATGCCTTATGCTAAGCAGTCCATTGATGGCTGGGCAGATATACTCAGATATATGATGTGTTCTTTGCTTTGAAGAAGTTTATTTGTAGAATTAGGTGTTACTTTTTCTGTACTAGTTTGAAAATGTTAGATAAGCCAATTTTAATGCTCAAACCTTTTAATCATAGATTTGAAACATAGTTCCAATAGTGTATCTAACTACAGATAGATGGTTTTTAGCAATAAATACTATTGACAGTACTGTTACTGCTTGCCTGTGTTTGATTTCATTATTATTTTGCCTTGTCTTCTCTAGAGCAACAGTACTTTGAGATTGAGAAGAGGTTATCACAGAGTCAGGAAAGACTTGTGAATGAAACCCGGGAACACCAAGTCTTACGATTTGAGATTGATAAACTCAGTAAGTATAAGTATTTTGGATCTTCAAATATTTTTTCTTTGGAAATAAGTTTTCTTATCTACTTACTAAATATGGAAACACAGAGGAAGCATTGTTTGGTTTCTGGTGATACTTTGAATTTTCATTTGCTAATTTAAGGGCTAATGTTTAATGGTTGGAGGCCTCAGTTCAGCTTATGACTTTGCTGTTAAAAGTGATTATGCCATATGTAACTAATTATCTAATTGTTCTTTTAAAAGTGTCTAAGTCTACATAGGCATCTATCTACACAGATTGGGTTGTTTCTGAACGTTTTGGAAAAGGATAGGAAATGCAGTGAAATTAGAGAAAATGATTATTGTATTGAAACATTTAAGACTATTCCATTGTATTCTCATAGTTTTTTAACATATCAACCAATTCTGTGTATTTCTTCTTAAAGGCCTAGTTTCTATGGAAAATGTTTAGCTCATTTTCTTAGTTTTCTTGTATCATTATTTTCTAAGTCATGCCCAAGGTCTTGTGTAACATTACATACAAGTATATGTTGTATACTTTGCTTATTATAAAAGAAAGAAAATATCAAAAGAGACCTTAATTAGAGTAAGGGCTTAATTAATTTCTTTTAAGTATCACTTGGTTTGGATTTGGTTTGAGGTCTAAGAGTATGGCTCAGCATCTAGTGCAACTCTGAGTTTAAATTCTTTGCCACCCCTTCTCTGTGCTTCGCAGGAAAGAAGAGTGGCTTTGATATGTTGGCGAAGGAATGAGCACAAGCTTATAGTCAAAGAGATTAATATAATTTCATTTTTCATAAAGACTGTCCATTGGCAGCTGGTATCGGTTATAACTTATTTTCGGTTATTTTGACACGTTCCACTTTGAAAGCCCAATGTGTATATATATATATATACACATACATACATATATATATATATACACATACATACATATATATACATACATACATATATATATACATACATACATACATACATATATGTATGTATATATATATACTGATGGTATGTAGATCTGTGATTTATTATTTGTGCATAATTTTGTCTTCCCAAAGCATAATAATAAAAAAGTTAGTTCAGCAATGGTGCAAAAAAGTTATGGGAAATGTCTGTCATTACAATTTTGTAATATCTAGAAGGAAAAGATAAAGGTCAATAACTTCTTGGGGTACACATTGATGATACGTGTATCTTTTTAGAGGTATAAGTGTGGAAGTGTAGAAAATTCAGGCTCATTTGCCCAATTTTTTTTTTCTTTCAAAATAATCTCATTAAATTGCCAACATATAATGTATACGTGTTTCAGTGAAGGAAACACTTAAAAGTGTATTTTTTTTCTTAATTACCTTCATATGCTTAGAAGAAAAGCCTACTATTTATCTGAGGAGTAAAGAACTGTCAAACATAATATTTTTCTTCCAAGTCTCCTTTTAGAGTGATAAATAATATAGATTTGTAAGTATTATTATGATTTACTTTGTGTTCATTTTATAGTTTAAATTATATTTTCACAGTCCTGTCATCCTTTTACTTAATTCATTTCTAAACAAAGTTCTAAAATTTCTAAACAAAATTCACTGCATATGATGCCTGTTGATCCACGAAAATGTGATTGAGATCTAAGGAGAATGCTAATTGCATGTGCTTTTGTTACAGATGTTGGCTAGAATTACTGTACATTTGAGTTTGACACAGTATAGCATTTTTAAAAGTTTGTTCTAAAATACATTGAAAATGAAATGTATAAATGTTATTGTGATGTAGTTAGAACTTACTCTTTCTGGGTTTCAGGTTCTTTTTAAAAATATTTGAGGGTGACGGTTGGATTAAAGCACATTGTAGTATAAAGCTAATCCACATACACTCATAAAATCTTTTCTATCTAGATACACAACTGAAAGCCCTCACTGAGAAAAACAAAGAACTTGAAATTGCTCAGGATCACAATGCTGCTAGCCAGGTAAAATTTATTCCTATGAAAAAGCTAATTGCATGTATGATACCTAAGTTATTTTTCCTAATTTGGCTGTGTTTGACTATATTTATCAGATGTCAATGAGAAGATGAAATGGAATTCCCATTAGGAGAAGCTACCAACAAATAACATTTATACAAATTAAATATAAAATTTTCCTAATTATTATATGTTTTATTGATAGTCTGAATATCCCTTTTACTCAGTGGAAATGCTTTGATGAATCATGCCTCTTTTGATATAAGCAAAGCTGGATGAATTACATTGGTAATCATTTCCTTAGAGTAACAGTAACTAATTTGTTCAAATAAAAGAACAAAACGCCTATATTATTACTGGAAATAACTTTGCAAAGGATATTATATAT